ACTACTAAGGCCCACTGAACTAAGCCTGCAGCAAGCTAAATTGAATGATTGTCACCACACACCCCCACTGGACAAAGCACGTGTTTCTGTTTAATTACCATATGTAGGGTTCGTGCACAGAGGGGATTGTCGGGAAAGAGATGGCTGTTTGAGGAAGCTCCCATTTATTAACATTTCAACAAACAAGTTGCATATTTGCATAACGTATTCAAGTGTTAGCATTTAGTGCAATAGTAGCTACAGAACATGTACTGTGCTGTGTAAACTGTACTGTATCACATAGCGTTTCAGACACACAAACTTTTCAACTTTCAAACTTAAACGGTGCGCTCCCAGCGCACGTACCGGCAGTGATCTACAGCAGTGGTTTTCAACCAGTGGCACGGGGACAAACTGTCTCGCTCTCGTAATGTCTGTCTGTCTTGCTCTCGTTCTGTCTCTCGTACCACTCTCGGTTCCACTTTTAGTTTTGCGCGCTACCTGTCTCACTCTTTTCCGGCCTCCAGCTTTTCCTGCTGGAACCCGCCGCTTAAAGGTGGGGGGCGCGGACCGGCCATAGAGCCCATAGAGTTAAAGGTGGTGGACTGTAACCTGTACAATCCATAGATTTAGGAGGTCCCCTAGTGGCCGTTAGCTGTAAAAATCCATAGATTAGCCGCACCGTTATATAAACCGCAGGGTCGAAAAATGGGAAAAAAGGCGCGGCTTATAGTCCGAAAATTACGGTATATTAAAAAAGGGGTAATCTGAACTCACCAGCCTCCTGCTGCTGCTCTGTAGGACTCAGCTTTGCCCACCATGGACTAAACTTCAGCAGCCTTTTTATCTCCTCATCCTCAAACAAATCAGCCCTGAAATCATACAAAGACGTTAACTTTGAGACTCTAGACTTTTAGAGTGTCCATGGTTTGTATTCTCATAAACTCACAGGTAATGGTCAGGAGAAAAATCAGACGCCTCAACTTCCTGCCGCCCGCGCCTCCTCTCTGCTGCCGTCGCCCCTTCTGGGTTCTTCACATCAATCACGTCGGTCAGTTCCTCCTGTCAGGTAATCCCCACACATTAACTCTCGCCATGTCATCCTCATTTGGATTGCATGATTCTGATCAATCACATTCAGAAGAGACAGAAGGGTTTAAGCTCACCTGTAATCGTGCAAACACTCCAGACCTCTGATTGCCGAAGCCATATTTCTGCAGCGCCCCCAGCTCCTCCTCAGAGCTCTCCTTGTACTCCTCCTGCTCCACCTGCCAGTCAAACTCTTCCTCATCTTCATCCTCATCAGCATCTCCAGCGCCTTCACTGCATCCTTTGACATGGTAAGAAGTCATGGTTAGGTTTAGGTTCCTTGTTCATTGAAATGATCTGATGTGTGGATGTGACTAACCTGTGCTCACGTCCTCTATCAGTGGTTTTGCTGAGCGGGCGCCTTTCGGAGCGAGGAGGCTGGTCAGCATCTGAAGTCCTTCAAAGTGTTCTCCAGTCGTTTCCTTAGGGACCCAGACGGTGAACAGACCTGCAGCAAAATGAGCAAGGCATGTTTTTTAAACCATTACAGATCTATTCTTTCCTCCACACAACTTGTAAGCCTCTTGTTTACCCATACAATTGATCAAACGAAAAGTAAATAAACCAAATTCGATGATTATTTCTGTCATTTATCCAATGGGTTAGGGTTAGGGTTAACTAACTACTATTTTCTAGATTCATCAACACGTTTGGTCAATATACAGTCAAAGAAATAGATAGAAATGTTTATGCCGTTTTCTCAATGTCTAAGTTGATTTTAAATGTTAAATGTATTGTTTGTCACTAAAAAAAACAAAGATATTCGGTTTATTTTGATAGAAAATTAAGAAAAAAAAGCATTTCGTCACATTTTTGCATGATTACTAACAATCTAACACTTGAGCAAGTCCACTACTGTACCGTGCGCGAGTACTGTTTTGATTAAATTAATAAATAGATATGTTTTTTCTGAAAATGCATGCGTTTTGGAAGTAGTGAGCATACAACTGGATATATGAGACTTGTATTATAATGTCAGTAAAGTCAGTAAATGGATGTTTTGATAGAGTGTTGCTTTTGGTCAATCTGACCCCAACTCATTCAGATTTCCCAGGTTTTGGATGTCTTGTGGAAGAAAGCTTTCTCTTGAACAAATCAAGGTAACACGAGGTGAGAAACTGATATCCGCATGATTATTTTGTAGGTATGGTTATCCTTTAATTATAACCATATGTAACCATTATGTATACCAGTGGCGAACCGTCAGGGCCTTCAAGGTATTCAGAGAATACCCTGGAACACTCAGATAAAAGAAACAAAAAATCCATTTAATTATATAAATAAAATGTATATAAAATGAATAAATGAGAATGGTATCTGTATCCTGATTTGTTTGTCCTTCTCGGTCCATGCACGACGCATTTCAGTGGTTTTGTGTTAGAAAAGAAAGCAACCAATCAGATCTTGTTCTGGGTCTCTGGGTAGAATATCCTTCAGCAAGGTATTCTGTATCCTTGATAGAATGCCCTGGCCGTTGCACTGAATGAGAGCGTACGTTTGGACTGACAGTTTGATCAAACAATCATATATTGATTTGTAGCCAATGGGCGTATTCTTTCAGAGTTTCCCTCGGTTCCGGGTACTCTAAGGCCCGGTAGTTAACTGGCTCGAGACAGACGATCTAGATGAATGCGACGAAGCAATTCATGCCGTTCTATTGTTTTTAACGTTGAAAGGACAAGCGCACAACTGGTGACGATGAAGTTGTTGCGGAATTGTTGTGGGGCGGGGGTGTGTGTGTCTACAGAAGGTCCAGTTGAGATAGACACGTTTCGCCACTGATGTATACTAAGTTGAGAAAGAAATGAGTAAGTGTTCTTAATGAACTGACATCCAATATGCAGTGACAATGACAGGGTGACTCCCAACATGTGTGAGAAGAGAAACACAACACACAAGGAAGTCAGTCATCAAAGACTACTGATTTGTATACAAAAGTGTGATTGATCTCTCTTTGTAAAGCCATTCATTCTAATTTGAAGGAGAGCATCTCGATACCCGCAGCCTGACCACCTGTGCAACACTTCAAAATCAAGCAGCGTGAAAAATGTAGCAGGCTGGATGATTTAGACTGATTTGGCTGCACCACAGAGAAATTCTGAGGGCCGCCTAAAGACCTCGTAAAAATGCAATGCACCCAAGTGTTAGAGCTTAGATGTGCTTTACGATGGGAGCCCACTAATTGCTGGAGTTGCGGGCCTTGCAGAACGGAGAGGGGATCTTAATGATTGCTCATTATAAGTCTAAACAAGGACGCTCATTAGCGCAGTTTCATTAGCAGATGTTCCGGGCTTAGTTAGACACACAGAGGCCGCGCTGACAGACGGGCGACGAGGTGTCAGAGTCCATAAGGCGGATGTCCCCATAAAGACAACTTCATTAGGGCTGATTATGTTCGAGAGAAAAGACAGAACAGTGACAGACAGCATTTCATTTGATTGTTGTTATATTTAAAGGAATATAAGAGTGCTCCGTGTCACTGTGGAGAGAAGTTAGAGGCAGTCTGCAGGCTTTAATCACTGTGACATTACTGTGGTGCTTTAAATGTGATGATGACATGATGAGTGGGTTCATTCTCCCTGGCTGATTGACTGAAGATCAAACTAAAGACTCCCCGGGGATGAATTCCTGTCTGCAGCTAAAGCCATGTTTCAGTTAGAGCTTTTGTTCATGTGGGAGCGGTCAACAGTGGGTAAGGTTTCCAAATGCAAGGGTTATGGTAGAAATGTTATCAAGTATGTATTAGCGGTGTAACAAGACTATTTAGTCTGCCCGTTTCTCTCAAAAGCCAGAGAGACATTAATACATGATTTCATTTATTGTTGTAATGCTCTACTTTCTGGTGTCCTTAAAAGTAATATTGCCAGTTTTAACAAGAACCAGAAAGAGAGCTCGATTTTGAAATCTATGCATTGGCTACCTGTGAGCTTCAATATTGATTTTAACACTTGTAATTGTTTTTAAAGCTCTTAATGGTCTTGGGCTTAGCTATTTATCAGATTTGCTTTTACCCTATAGCCTCTAGAACCTGCAGGTACTTCTGGTAAAAGATTATCTGTTTTAAAATCAATGTTGATCTTACACTGAACTGGGAAAAGAACCTTCAACAACTTAGAGAAGAAGATACAAATAAAACAGTTTTCTCTTAAGCAAAGCAAGTAACATTGGAGGAAACAGAAGCCTGTACTACGAGTCCAGTTGAACAGACCCTGGATATGTTTGAGTTACCCGGTTTACCTAATCCAAAACAAACGCGCTCTCGCTAAGCGGTCCTACGACGCTGGTTATCAACTCGGTAACTCAAGCCAGGGTTTCTCTGTCCGGCTGAGTGCGCGTTCACATGAAAGGGGCGGGGCTAGCAACATTTGACCAATCACAAACATGGAGAAGCGTACTGACAGCGCAGCGTCATGCTTCCTGAATGAAAAGTAAACTATAATATTAGACATAGGAAGAAGTTAAACTTTAAACATCCATGACTTAAACACTTTATCCTGGATCAAAGCCACATAGCTGCACCTGCAAGGTGAATACAGCTGGTAAAAGAAAACGTGTTTGAATGCGTACATTATAGA